ATTTTTTTGAACAAAAAGCAAAGATTAAACTTATTAAACGCAGCCCTGATCAACCTAGGAAAAACGCAGCTTGCATAGCCTAGATACTAAACCCAGCAAATAAGCAAGAACCCAACGCTCCAGTTTAGAAGATTTGATTTCATATAGGAGTTGAAATGAAAAAGAGAAGGGTTCAGGGTTACCTCTTTTGCTGCCTTTGGAACCGAATCCTCAGTAAGAATCCGCAAGAGGATGATTGAAATCCACGAAAATTTGAGGGAGACGAGTTGCAGGTTTTTCAAGGGTTGATGAAAAGCAGATTCAAGCCCAAATTTCACGCATCTGGAGACATTTTTTCTTGAAGTTTTGTGAACAAAAGTTGTACTTCTACAAACTTAGATAGTGCAGATTCAGATAAGAAGCAGATATCACTGAGATTGAGGTCGGATTTTGCTCTAGAAAGAAGCCAGATGTTTAACCCTGGCTCAAGATTTTTCACGAAAGTTTTTTTCTGCGCTTTTTCTTTCTTTTCCTCTCAGATTTCTCTCTTTTTTGCTGTTTTTTCTTTCTTCAGCTGCCACCTCTCTCTTATTCTCTCTCTTGTTGCGTTTTGTGGCCTTTTTATAGGCACCAAATACCCCAAAACCCTCACCTCAAAGGTGAGGATGGAGGTTGGTTTTTTTCCCAAAATTTTGAGCCATTTGATGGCATTTCTTCTAGAAAAATCTTGACAGAGATAAAAGGGGTGAGTGGCAAAGGGTTGCGGAAAAGGAAAAAAACAAAAATGAGTGGATTTGGAGGCCAAAAATGGCCTCTGCAATTTTGTCCTTGATCCTCTATGGCTTCTGGTACGAAACCACTGGCGCGCGTGCGTGGATTTTTTTTTTTTTTTTTTTTTTACAAAAATCTGTAATTTTTATTTCTTTTCTTTTCTTGTTTTTTCTAATTTTCCTTTCTGCTTAATTTTTCTAAAATGAATTGAAAAAAGATGATTTTGTAAAGAAAATGAACAAAATAAACTAAAGTAAGATTTACAACAAAAACAACTAAATAGTAATAAAAATGAAGAAAATAAAGTAAAATAATATAAAAATATCTAAAATAAAAATAAAATGGTAAATTTGTTTTTTGGTAAAATTTTGTTGTCTACAAACTACCTATTTAAGAATAAAATATTATATACAATACAGAAAAACATGTTGAAATTAATGGTACGTGAAATTAATTACTTGACAATAGCATCGACCATGTCATTACAATGCATACATATTGTTTTTACAAAATGACCTTCACATGGTTGTCCACAATTTTTGCATAGCTTATAGAACATGTTTTCTATATTAATGCTCTAAATGTAAGCAAGTATTCAAAAATATTTAACCAAGTAAGAATGAAAGATGATATAGGTTATGATTATGAATTGAAAAGTTTGTTCGACAATTAATTAAAGCGGTGTAATTTTACCATAGGCATGATTTTGAATTTAAGTGCCGTTGAAGTGTTTGTAGGTGGGATTCGTCCATGTTGAGATTATGGTAGGTAGTGTTTTTTTTCTTACTGTATTTGGTTTGAAGTGTTTGCCCACGTGATTTGCAAGGGACGTCATAGGGGTGGTTATTATCTATTAATTAAGGGATAAAGATTACTATATTAAAAAAATATAAAATTGTAATAAAATTAAAGTGTGTTTATGATTTGTAAATGTGATTTGTAGGGTGGTTATTATCCATTAGTTAAAGGATAAATATTACTAAATTTAAAAAATCTAAAATTGCAGTAAACAAGGATTTGGATTTCAGACGCTTTTGGAAGCCCTTCTTCAAAAACCTGTCCTCTAATACATTTAGATATAGATTCCCACTACCATAATATATTCTTCCAACATTTTGCTTAATTGCACACCAACCCCTCAACTTCTTTAGTCTTAACAATGAATTCAAAAACTTTATTGTTATTCTCTTAAAATCTCCAAAATGAAGAGTTGCGTATTACACAATTGCCAAATTAAGCCCTGGGGTTGTAGTAGATGACTGCTTCTCCTTGTGTTATCTGGTCTCTTTCTTTAGCCTATGCGCGGTCTTCTTAACCTTAGGATCAAAGATTAATTTACCTGTACAAGAAGAACAAGACATAAACTAGAAAAATACTAGAGAATAAAATAAAATACACTAAAAAAGAAACAAATAAACTAATGTCAATCCCTGGTAATGATGCCAAAAATTGATAGGTGTTGAATCTATACAATAATAAAAATCCTACTCAAGAAAATATAAATTTTGTATATAGCAGTGAGTAGGGTCATCTTCACAAATATTGGGGAGAAATTTGCTTCTTTTTAGAGTGAGAAATATGGGGGGAATTTTCGTAAATTCAAAAGTAACTAATTAACTAATTAAAAAAATTCATGGAAATAAGTAGGAATTAAATCAATCATAAACACGACTCTAACAAAAAATGCAACATTTCAGATACAGTTCACACAACTGATCATTGATGCAAGAATATTTCAATCACTCATTAATAGATTGGTTATAGCCATCAACAAGATTTGACAACCAACTTTTCCTTACTTTTCGATAGTCAAAATGCGATCATTAATTATTTCTTTACCAAGAAATAACCCTAGGTACGACTGTAGGATCTAATTTCTTGATTACATTAAAAATTAGAAAAGTCCAACTCTAACTAACAAACATCAACAAACATGATATGAGGCCAGGTTTGTTTAAATTAGATCATACATTTTCTTAACATCAAACCAATCACGCTAGTTACCACCAGCATTAACCAATCAAATAATTACGAATTTAACTGGTTAATATGACAGTATATTATTAGGTTAATTCAAATATCGGACCCTTGATATTCAAATAACAAAACAATCATAAGAAATTAAATCATAAAACATATGAATACCTATGAACTAAAAAAAATTAAAAATTAATTCTATCTCACAGAGGTTTGGAAACCACGTCTTCAAGTTGACCTTTGGTTAGAAGAGGAAATTGGTTGTTCACATTGAGGAAAAAATCCCATGCAAAAGATGGAGAATTTTAAAAGCCTTTTTTCCTCCAAAGAAGAAGATACGATGTATATGTTTTTCGCTTGAAAGACAAAAAAGTCCCGAGCCAGCCGTTCTCTTGTTTTCTTCCTAACTACTTTCCTAATTTTTAGCTATCAAGATAAGGGATAATCCCTATTGGAAAAGGAAATCCTAAAAAAATAACATAAACAAATAGTTTTTAATATGAATTGGAAACTAATGTCTTGGAAGAAAAATCACGTTCACACTTCAGCTCAAGAATCCCAACTACTATAAGAAACTTGTCTGCATCAGAATCCCAAGTTTTCTGAACTTGACGCTAAACTGGGCATATGTCTTTTGGAAAAATCGCCATTTAAGTTCTTTTTGTTCCACATTTCTACAATTAACACAATTTATCAAATATGAGTAGAATCTATCAATTAATACAAAATACAATATTTGGTCAAAAATCAAGGGACAAATATTCACAAATTTACTAACAAAATGCACCCAATCACTCATCCTTGCTCTTTTAGTTCTTGAAAACCATCCGACTTTTTTTTGTTTTGTTTATTGTTTTTCTTGTTTGTGTTCTCTTGAAATGTTGATATACATGTACTTCACTTACTTGGACAGGAAATGCCTGGCACAGCCCCGTGTCACTTTTTTTGTACATAATTTTGGTATGATTTAGGAAGTCTTTCTTGCACAATATACTACATAACTGAGTTCTTTTTTTTCTCTCTCTCTCTATTCCTGATCTGGTTTGGCGGCTGAGGACGGTCATTTCGGCTTCTCCTCAATAAGGATCACTTCGGCTCCATATCAACCTAAGACTGCCTTAGGGATCAGAACCCCCGGCGTCTGGGACTGAGTAGGGTTCACTTCGGCACAGCTCCCACCAACAGCCGTGGTGGAGGACGTGTCCCTCAACCTGTAAACACTTCTGACAGGTGATGGGATAGCCAGGTTTGGATACAGTCTGACACTTGCAAGAGGTCAGACTGCTAATAGGACTTGCTGCCGCCGCCAATCTGTCAATCACAGCTAACACCCTCAGGTTGTCATTTCCAAGGAGGCTGGATCCTATCATACCTCCCTCCCATCATATAAATACCCTTAAGTCCTAAAGCAGGGGTAAGCTCTCACTATTTATCTGATTGAATTTATTTCCAACTGGGACGTACTAACTAGAGCGTCGGAGGAGAACCAAGGGAGCTAGTCCCGCCGTTCTTGTTTGAGCAGGTGATTGTCCGAGAAAGTGTCCACACTACCGAGGTTCACTCCAGCAGCCTTAACAAGGTCAGGTCTGTCAAAAATCACCTCTTCAATTGGTGCCGTCTGTGAGAACGAAGATATCTCAGAATGAAGCCCACGCGTTCTAGGAGTAGGAAGGTTCTCACCATTGGGGCTCAGCCGAGCGCTGCAGTCCAAGAAGAAGATATGGCCGAGGGGCAGGGACCCCCAGAGCCCCAGCCAACAAACGAAGAAGCCATGACCAAGATGGCCGAGTTTGTGGTAGAAAACCCTAACGTCTTTGAGGAATTAGGAAGGTACTTTAAGAGGCAAGACAAACAAAAGGCCGAGTCCTCCAAGAGGAAATCAGACGAATCTCCCGAGCATCTATCTGATGAAGAATCTGATGGAAGACACTTGGCCAGGAGCACTTCGAAGCAAGCCATGTTTAAGGTTACTTCCAAAATTGCTTCTTTATCCAAGGCTTTTTCGCGAGGTTTGTTAGGAGGGAGAGCTGACGAAGAACCCCGGCTCCTGGGGAGGTTCGGAGTGGATTACATGAGAACTCCGCCTTTCACAGACGAGATCAATGAGGAGAGGCTTCCTTCAAATTTCAAACTCCCCACGATAGCATCTTACGACAGCTGAGGTGATCCAGAAGACCATCTCACGCGTTCATCTCAGCATTCCGATTATATTGCATCCCCGACCCTGTTATTTGTCGGGCTTTTCCAGTGTTTTTCCAAGGGACAGCTCGAAAATGATTTGGGGCCTAGAGGCTAGGAGCATATCCACCTTGGGGGAACTGGTGGAAAAATTCCTCCATCGTTTTGTATCCTCCAGACCTACGACCAAGATCTCGACGTATCTGTTGAATATACAGCAGAACTCGGGAGAGTCACTTAGGTCTTATGTACAGAGATTTCAAGATGAGAGCGTGCAGATATCCGACCCCAACGAGCAAGTGACTATAGCTGTCTTTACTAACGGGTTTGTGGTCGAGACGTTTCACACCGTGAGACACAAGAAATATCCTCGCACGCTCCAAGATCTTTGGTTGAAGGTCGAAAAAGACATACAAACCGAAGACCTCAATCATATGAAGAAAGAGGCCCAAGTAATCCGGTCAAGATCTGACCCTAGGCGGAGGGAGTCAAATGGAAGTGAGGTCAGAAACAGCAGAGATCTCCAGAGCCTCGGCCGAGACCGCCGGAGCGTCTTCGACAGAATAGCCAAGGGAAAGCCGCCAGTCTTGGAAGCCGAGTTAACTCCCTTGAACACCAACCGATCCCATGTGCTGTCTGTGATGGACCAAAATGGACTTGGGCGAGCCACTCCAAAGATGAACGGAAAAAAGGAGAGAAGAAATCCTGACCTGTACTGCCTATACCATCGAGTTGTTGGGCATGAGACAGAGGACTGTAATGACCTTAAGAAGGAGATAGAGCATCTCATTAAGCAGGGTTATCTCAAGCAATTCATCCGACGAGATGCGAGTTACAATAGGAGCGAATCCCGTCGTGAAAGCCGTGGCAACCAAGGCCGAGATGACAGGCAGGGTGGTAGAAGCAGTTGCCGACCCCCGGAGGGTCCCAAGGATGCCAGGAAGCCTCCCAGAGATGGGTCCCCCGGTCATGGGTCAGGCTATGGGCCTAACATCGTTGGAGTTATTAACACCATAGCCTGTGGTCTGACGGGAGGGGACAGTCAAAACTCCCGAAAAAGAACCTACCGACAGGCTAACCCGAACTTAACTGAGCCGAGTTCTCGGCTGTCCGAGGTAATCATATATGGCCCAAGTGATCCTGTCCCAGCCACATCCAGCAGTCATGAGGCCTTGTTGATTGAGGTACTAACCAACAATTACGTCGTCAAGAAAATGTACGTTGATCCAGGAAGCTCAGTAGACGTCATGTATTATTGGACGTTCGAAAATCTGAAACTTATAAGAGAGTAGCTCAACCCAATCAGGACATCTCTTGTGGGCTTTGGGGGACACGTTGTCTACCCCGAAGGGATGGTCGCGTTAACGGTGACCGTCGGCCATCACTCTCGGTGCCGAACCATTCCAGTTAATTTCGTGGTAGTCAGGGCTGATTCTCCCTATAACCTGCTGATGGGTCGGCCCACCTTGAACGCTTTGCGAGTTGTGTACTCAATATACCACTTAAGTTTCAAGTTTTCAACTCCCGCGGGAATCGCTGAGATGAGCAGCGATATCTGTGCAGCACGGGAATGTTACCTCGCTACGTTGCAGGTTGCGTCTTCATTGACGTTCGAGCCTAGGACTGAGGGCAGGAGGTCTAGTATTCTATTGATAGACTGCATCGATCCTCACCAATCCGTGAAGCCTCAAAGGCTGGAGACCGGAGACGAGGTTGAAGATGTTATGTTAACCCCTGCCAGCCTCGATCAGACCGTCCGCATCGGTACCGACTTGCCCGAACCGTTCAAGGGCGGGGTTGATTGAGCTCCTCAGGGAGTATCACGATGTCTTCACCTGGTCCGCTGAGCAAGTAGTCGAGGTGCCTAGTCAGCTTATGCTGCATGAGTTGAAGGTGGATCCGAGAGCCCAGCCGGTCAGGCAGAAGAGGAGACACTTCGACTCGAAACGCAGCAAAGCTATAACGGAGGAAGTGGACAAGCTCAGGCCGGCACGAATGGTCAAAGAAGTCCAATACCCCACTTGACTATCCAATCCAGTGATGGTCAAAAAGGATTCAGGTGAGTGGAGAATGTGTGTAGACTTCACCGATCTGAATAAGACTTGCCGAAAGATTGTTACCTGTTGCCGAGAATTGACGTGCTAGTCGGCTCGGCAATGGGATACGAGATTCTCTGCTTCCTAGATATTTTTAAAGGCTATCATCACTAGGAATGAGTGAAGAGGACCAAGAAAAAATGGCTTTCTTCACGGATCAGGGGGTCTACTGTTATACGACTATACCTTTCGGGTTTAAGAACGCTGGAGCTACCTACCAGCGGTTGATCAACCGAGTCTTTAAAACTCAAATAGGTTGCAATGTCGAAGCATATGTCGACGACGTCCTACTGAAAAGCAAAGAGACTTCGGCATTTTTGTCTGACGTGAGAGAGGTCTTCGGGGTCCTCCGTGATACTCGCATGATTTAAATTCCAAGAAGTGTGTGTTCGGTGTCACTTCGAAAAAATTCTTGGGATACTTAGTATCACGACGAGGTATACAAGCGAACCCTAACAAGGTGAAGCCCATTCAAGAAATGTCTTTACCGCGGACCCCTCGCGAAGTGCAAAGTTTGACCGGACGCTTGGCCGCCCTGAATCGATTCCTGTCGCAATCTGCAGCCAAGGCATTGCCCTTTTTCAAGGTACTCAAGAAAGCTGACAAGCTCACCTGGACTATGGAATGCCAGCAGGCTTTCGAAGAGGTGAAAGAATATCTTCATCATCTCCCCACGCTTACATCACCTTGACCTGGGGAGACCTTATACCTTTACCTTTTGGCCGCGGACGAGGCTGTCAGCGCCGTGCTAATTCGGGACGATAGGGTTCAAGTACCCATTTATTACGTCAGTCGAGTTCTCTGTGGCCCTGAGACCCGGTACACCCGAGCAGAAAAGCTCGTGTTAGGGTTAGTCCACGCGACCCGCAGACTAAAGTCTTACTTCCTAACCCACCCTATAACCCTACGGACTGATCAACCAGTTAGGCAGATTCTATCATGTCCCGAGGCATCCGGATGGCTCACTAAGTGAGCTATTGAACTGGGGGAATATGACATAACCTATGAGCCCCGAACTGCCATCAAGGCCCAAGATTTAGCAGACTTCTTGGCCGAGCTCACCTTCCCTGGGAGCCGAGACCTTCCTTTGACCGAAGCTGGACCCCAACGATGGACCTTATATGTGAATGGATCTTCCAATAACGGGGGTAGCGGAGCTAGTTTGCTCCTCGAAGACCCTCATGGAAAGACATGCTCTTACGCACTCTGATTCGACTTCGCCGTGTCAAACAATGAAGCTGAGTACAAGTCCCTCATCGTAGGCTTGCAATTGGCCCGGAGGCTTGGTGCCCACCAAATCTCAGTTTATAGTGACTCCCAACTCGTATTATACCAGATGCAGGGAGAGTACGAAACTAGAGAGGAAAACATGCAATAGTACCTCTTTAAAGTTCACAAATTAGTAGCGTACTTCGGGTCATTTGACATCCAAAGGATACCCCGGTCAAAGAATAGGCGGGCTGATGCCTTGTCAAAAATTCGCCTCTATCGCGTTTGCCACGCTCAATAAAACGGTTCACGTGGAGGTTCGATTTGAGTCGGGGTACTTCGAGGAGAAGGTTTACCCAGTGACTGTAGAAGATACTTGGATGAGTCCTCTTATCAACTTTTTTAGACAAGGAGTTCTCCCAGACGACAAGGCCGAAGCGAGGAAAATTTAGAGCAAAGCGGCTAGATAAGCATTTCAAGATGGTAACTTGTATAAACGTTCTTACCTCGGCCCGTGGCTGTGCTGCGTCACAGCCGAGAAGGGTGGAAACATCCTCCGAGATATACATGAAAGATTGTGCGAGGCACACGTCGGGCATCGGATATTGGTTAAGAAGGCCCTATTACTTAGCTATTTTTGGCCAACCATTCGGCAAGATGCCCAGATATTGGTCCTGAGTTGCCCCTCCTGCCAGCACCATGCGCCCGCCTGAACACCACCAGCCGACCAACCTCATGGTCCCCATCGCGTCTTCGTGGCCGATCGAGCAATGGAGGACAGATATCATTGGCCCTTTCCGGAGGGCCACAGGTGGCTACGCCTATGTCGTAGTGGCAATAGACTATTTTACGAAGTGGGTTGAAACCGAAGTTTTAAGAAGTATCACTGACCAAGCTATCCAGAAGTTCTTGTAGAAGCATATAGTTTGCCGCTTCGGGTTATCTCGGATCGTCATCTTTGATAATGAGAAGCAATTTGTTGACAACCTCTTCAAAGCATGGTGCGGCGAACTTGAAATCAAACAGCATTTCACTTCGGTTGGACATCCTCAAACCAACGAACAGGCAGAGAATTTCAACTGAACACTTTTATACGGCCTCAAGACAAGGTTAGACCAGCTCGGAACCTCCTAGCTAGACGAGCTCCCTAGTGTGCTTTGGTCTTATCAAACCACACCTAGGATGGCCACACAGGAGACCCCGTTCTCGCTAACTTATGGATTCGAAATAGTAGCCCCTGCCGCATTCCTTATCTCGAGCCCTAGAATAACGGCCTTCGTCGCCGAGACTAATGAAGAAGAACGAAGGACTGACCTCAACCTTTATGAAGAAACGAGAGATGCTGTGGCAGCCCGGATGGCCCTGTACAAGAAAATTCTAACTAGCTATTATAATTCCCGTGTGAAAAATCTTCGATTTAACCCGGGGGACCTCGTTCTCCGAAGGAACTTGGTCAGCCGAGCTGAGTCCCAGGGCAAGTTATCTCCGAATTGGGAGGGACCGTACCGCGTGGTTGAAGTTAGCCAAAATGGATATTGTAAGTTGGCCTACCGAGATGGTTCCTTAGTACCTAGGACCTGGCATGCCCAGAATCTCAAATTGTACTTTCCATGATACTTGCATTTTATTTGAAGTTACTTACGCCTATTCTGCATACTTAGTTATTTTCTTGGCACTATCACATGGTGTTGTTAAAGAAAATAGGGGGACAAACAAGTAGTAAACGAATAAAGAAGCAAGATACTAGAAGGTGGAAGTAATAGAAAATGGGAATTCATATTAATATTAACGAAGGACAGGTACAAAAATTGCAAGTACAAAAGGCCGAGGCTTAGAGCCCTGCTAAGAGTTTCTCGCCTTAGTAGATCCCTGGCCCGTAGCATTCCCGGTTCCCCCCATGGCTGCTCCACCGTCTTCTTCGCCTCTCTTGGCTCCGGACTCAAATTCCGCCATCTCGCGGTTGAACTCTTCCCGCACCTTGGTCAGGTTCCTCCCAACTTGAATCCATTCGGCCATGCGATCGCAGAGCTCCTAGACATCCTCGTTGTAACTCGTCTTATCCTTAAACAAGTCCACTTGTTCTATAGTGAGGAAGGGAGTGACCTCTTTGATAGCTGCAATGTAGCCGAACATATAGTTGGGCAGGGTGAGTTGACCGAGGTCATGAGTGAAAGTCTAGAGGAACGGAAGGCTTCCACTGCCGAGGTTCCCACCTTGTCGATTGCAGCCTGAGATAACTGCTCCTCCTGAAGTCGACTCTTCTTTTCCTCTTCCAAAGCGGACTTCAGAGAGTTGACGGTGGCCTCGGATTGTTCCATCTCAGCCAAGCGGTCCTTACGGAGCTATGTCTTTTCTTCCTCAGCCAGCTTCCTCTCCTCCTCAGCCAACTTCAGTTTCAGCTCCAGGGCGTAGACCCTATCCTGGAGCTCGGCAGGGGCCTGATTCTCGAGTATATTAGTATAGCGCTACATCAACTCCGACAGGAAGGCCGAGATCGAAGCCGATGCTATCGAGGTGCTTTGCATCAGCTCGGACGGGGTCAACTTTTTGGTATAAGAATGATCCCTTGACAAGTTGGAGTGGACTAGCAGGTGGTGGACCACGCTAGGATCCAGACATCGATCATTGACGCTGATATCCCACTCCGGGCACCAACGCCAACCGGGATGCCTTTTGTCGTCTCCGGCCTCCTGAGGCTGAATGAAATGCCGATTTCAGAGGGATGACCCCATAACTGGCGCTTCGGGAGCAGACACTTGAACCTGTTTACCTCGACCTGTTGAGGGACAAGCTGCAATGGTTACACCCTAGGCAGGCACCCCTATTGGAATCATAGACCCTCTGGAACGACTATGGGGAGAGGACGAGATGGAGTGGCTGCCTTCTTTTTCTTGGCTGCCGAAGTTTCCCCAGGAGCTTTCCTCTTATGTTGCTTCTTCGTGACTTCGGCAATGCCCGCGGTGATCAGGTCGGATACTCTCACCACT